TTCTGCAGCAGTTCGGCCAGTTCTACTTTACGGCGCAGAGACTTAGCCATTACGGGAACAGGATACAAATTGATTGTCGGTGTTCGAACACCGCTGTCTACGTCTCATTGCACGAGTCTGGTGTGGAAACCGGCTGAGAAATGCTGAGATTAGGTGCAGAGTTTTAGTTAATTGCGGTCGTCTACTGGAAGGGGTAATTGACCTCCGTAGATTACACTGGAATCTGCTCAACATTCTAATCACCATTCTGCTGTTTTATCCAAATGGGCAACCAAAACCGGCGCACGCAAGTGCATGGTTAATGGTTGTAGGAACAGAACGAAACTTGCAATGAGCGAAACACTAGTAATTATCCTGCTTTAGGGTTCTCATCAGTTTCTCCGTGAACTAAATAATCGTGATGTAGTGCAATATGAGCTTAGGGCTTGTCTGATCCATTTCCCCATTTCACTTTATTTCCACACTCAGGTTTCACTTGTCGTTGTGGAGGTTTGTATTGCGGTCTTCATCGCTACTCAGATGCACACAGCTGCTCCTTCGATTATCGCGAGTCGGGTCAGGAGGAAATTCGCCGGTCCAACCCACAGATTATTTGCCAAAAAGTCCAAAAGATCTGATTGTTCCCACCCATCCCGTTAGCGATTATAGACATCGTACAATCGGACCGTGACTTGTTCTCCCAAAAAACAGTTTACTTTGTGCTCACTCCGGGCCTCTGTGGATGATCAGCCCGGCCAGCAGCCAATTCCCTCCATTCGTGATATGTGATGGCACTAGTGCACCTAAGGAACGTCGCCAAGTGCCTTTGGTGTGACAGCGTTTTGCACTTCCTGTGAATATAATCCACCCCCTTCGGCTCCTGGCAGTTTCACACGCGCACACGCTTGAACCACTGATGAATCAACGAACGTGGCATTCGCAGACTTTTGAACCATTAAGGGCGTTCCATTTTGTATATTGACACTTTCATCGTTTAATATCCTGCCCACCTACTACCGTATTTAACTTGCCTCGTCCATCCACTCTCACGTCTTATGCCCCATTCTTTCATCAACTCATTCGTCCTCGTACCATCCAGGCCAATAAACGTCCAATCGTCAGCGTGTCCGTCGTATTATTTATTTTCGAACCTTATTGTTCTTGGTCCCAGTCATTTTCACCATCTGTCTAGTCCCCTCCGCCCCCGTCCCCATTTTATCTTGAGGTTCGCCCTTCTCTGTTTGCGTGCTGCTGCTGTTGATCATATTCGGCAGCATAATTCGGTAAAGGCTGTTGCGCTAGCTTCGGTGTATTGCATACACGTGCTGTAATGCAATATGGTCAACTGTAACATCCTATCAAACGTAGTGCTAATCGCGCATACACACACGGGCGTTCAAACTTCATGGGTTGCATTGCTTGTCTCGCTACGGAAACGCGCACATTAGACCGTATCCACGGTATACCTGTCTGGTTTATTCCACCAATGTGTTTGTCGGCAGCTATTTGCAGTCGTCGTTTCGCGGTCCTTTCCGATCTGCACGTGTCCCATTCTCATGCGGTTCCCTCCAGCGAACTTCTAAAGATGATGTTCATGCATGTCCTTTTTCCCTCTTCTTTCTGGTCAAAGTGATTCCGCCGGCTGTTTCATCCTGCCAGCCTCCCATTGGTTCTCACCCGCGTGTCAAGCGATTGATGCTCGCTCGGTACCCTCTTGCCTGGCGACCATCCACTACGTTTGTCTCTGTCCGTCGGCCCCACTTTAACTCTTACTCATTTTGCTATCATTTCGCTAAGCGCTTTCTTGTAATTTTTTCAATTCACTTTAGCTAGTGTACTTGGTTTGAGCTCTATTTCTCTCTCTCTCTCTCTACACTTCAGAAATATATGCGTCGACGTACCCCTTCATGTTCTGTTCTTTTGTCGCTATATCCTAGTAAGATATTCCTGTAAGTTCGATAAACGGCATGTGAGATTTTCTGAAATAAGCTCTAGCATGTCTTATGGAAATAAACCGTACATCGCGTATTGTTTCATTTATCGGATAATTGCAACATCTAGTCACTGTTACGCTTAAGTGGTCACGTTGTTAATGCATTTTAACAAGAGTTATGTATCAATTAGGTAATGTACGCATTTTGATGCCGATACCACACTTTCCGCAAAACGTCGAAAATACCGTTCTCTGATTTTTGATAGTCTTTGGTGTAATGTTGATAAATGCTAAGGCGACTAGAACTTCACATTCTTGTTGGAAATACTGATGGTGGCCCTCTTGGTAGACCTTTTCGAGTAAATTAATAAGTCGTTCTGTTTGCGGTTTTAGCTTTTAATTGCGTTGAAACTTACATCACAAATATTGCACTTTCGTGCCGCGATTTCGGTTGCTGTGCTTTGACTAATCGTGCTAATCAAGAAGTGTCGGGACGAATGAAATACAGAGAGTAGTGCCAATGTAAGAATGGGGATTTCCGATGGACAGGTTGCGAAGAGACGGAGAAGGGGCTCGATTGTTTGCAACCGTCATCACTCAGTGTCTGTTACCATCGTTTACAATGTTCCCGAGATTCAAGTACTGTATCTCATGAGTGTTCGAGTCCAGATTATGCCAAATTTTTTATTCTCTTTCACACACGTCTGATGCCAGACTGTACCAAACAAACCGTGGTACTATAATCTTGCTAAAAGGAAAAAAGCGCCATGATTTGCAAGTGGGCCGAATACTGTCAGGTTGTCAAGGCCAAGGTAGGTGAATTTTCTTGGGAATCCACAACCGGAGCCTTCGGCTAACCAAGCCTGACCCACAAGACAGCGGGGCGGTGTGAAAACGATAATCCCTTGGGAGCCGGTATCCACTCCATCGGATCATGCGCCTTTCGGACGGGGTCAAACGTCAAAGGTGTCCAATACCTCGATGCTCAATGGTTGGTTGATTGGTTTGGAATTAGGGTTCATAGCCAACTCCCCTAGGTGAGTTGCCAGTGATTCGCCAACCCGGGTATCGGCTTTTCGTCCTCTCACTTTCGTGCAAAAACACCACGAGAAGGCAGTGTGTAGGACATCCTCAGCAGAGGCTATTTGAGTCGCTTGGTCGTATGGGAGCATTTCGCGGTGCAAGGGAAGGGTGACCAGCCTCAACCCCAGGCACTCATTCCCGACCATACTGAGGATTTCGGAGGCTGGCATGAGGCTATGCATGATAGTACATGGTTAATGGTTGTACAAATTGAAACACTTATCTTCCAAAAATGATAATTCCATCATTTTGATAGTGTGCGGAATACTGTCAGACCACCCAGGTCAAACTAGGCAACTTGTTTTGACGGGTATTCACAACCGGAGCTTTTGGCTAATCAAAATCTCACATGGCAGCGGGTTGGTGTGCGAAAACCGCAGTTCATTGGGTATCGGTGTCCAGTTCGTCAGATCATATGCCCTTTGGACGGGGTATACGTCCAAGGTGATCAAAATACCTCAATGCCCGATCGTACCGGTGGCCACTACCGCCAGCGGGAAGGGGTATTAGGTATTAGTTTGGAATTAGGGATTTTAGCCAACTCCCTAGGTGAAGCACCAGTGATTCGTTGACCTCGTAGGCTTTTCACCCTTTCGCTTTGGTGGGAAACACCCAAGTGAGGCTACTTGAGATGCTTGGTTGTATGGCACCATTTCGCGAAGTGCAATAGAAGCACCAGCCACAATCCAAGATTCTATTTACTGCAGCTGGCTCCTAAAAGGAGATCAGTCCGCTCCATGAGTGTTTAGACA